GGGCCGGCGCGGGGAAGGGCGACCAATGGAGGAAGAGGGGCCCGCGCGGGGAGGGCGGCCGGAGTAGGATGCGGGGGCGGCGGCCGGATCGGGGGATGGATTTGATCTGGTGTGAGCGTGTGAGTGTGAGTGAGGGGAGAGGGGTGCACGCGCGGGCCGGCGAGGGAGAGGAAGCAGAGGTGGGCCTAGCGGCAACGTAGGGGAGGAGGCCCAGCGCTATAGCTAAAGCTGCAACAAGGGGCCGAGAGCGTGGCCCATTAGCAGTAGCGTTGGCCGTGAAATACAGCGCTACTACTAACGTGCGCTTGTAGCCCTGGTGCTGGCCGGCGCTACTGCTAAATAACAGTAGCATGGGGTCTCTAACCAACGCTACTGCTAAATGTCTACCTATAAGCATTTTCCTAGTAGTGCAAGGTTTCGTAGGTTTAGATTGAGGGAGGATGTTAGATAGATTGATAGGGTTATGCGTGTATGTTTCAAACTCATTTATATCTTTTTCTGTTGGACTCCTCCTCTCATTGTAAATCATCTTTCCTTCTCCTGTACGAACTCCGGGTGAATCCTAGCGATCTCCCAATGCTTGTAAGCCACGACAACTTCCCAATATATACAGCGGCCCGAGACCAAAGGGTTCAACGCTTCCTCCAATCTTTACAAAACCATTGATTAACTTGATGTTACATCAAATGATACAAATAATTCAACAGATACCTTTGAAGTTGGAAAGAAGATTGTTTTCTAGAAAACCATGTGTACTCGACCTTGACGAGTCTTTCATGGTGATGAAACGACGCTCTCCACCTTGGGCACCTTGACTGGGAACCGGTGGATCTCCTCAATCCATGGATTGCTGCCGGCTTCCTTTGATGGGTGAATGTCCTTGAGCGCGCGCCACACCGCGCTGTTACACTTGAACCCTGACCCGGAGGCGATCTGCCACGCACGGTGCTCGCGTCGGACGCGTCCCTTCGCCTCCGTGTATGCAAGCTCATACCAGAGCGAGCTGCTCGACGTGTTCCCCCACCGGTTTAACGTCATCCTCGAAGGCTCCATGTGCCAGTCACTGAGCTCCAGGTTCTTCTCAATGGTGTCCAGCACCGCTCTGCCACCGGCATGGATGCAGAAGTGCTCGAAGGCCATCTTGAAGTCCGGAATGTAGGGCTTCATCTTGAGACCAAAGATATTCTTGCCGATGAGAGAGGTGAGGAAAAGGATCTGCTCGGACATGGGGAGAACGAGGGGGCCGAGCGTGGTGATGTTGGTCTTGAGGGCCTCACCGGCGACGGCCATGAGGTCCTTGGAGAGCGCGATGCCGACCCGGCCAGCCTTGTCCTCCTCCTGGAACACGCAGCGATAAGCGCGGTCGTCGGCGCTGTGGTGCGTGCGCACGGTGTGCACGAGCTGGTATTTCGAGCGGCGCTTATCGGCGACGCGGTTGGTGAGGAGGATCGCCGTGCCGCCCATGCGGAAGAGGCAGTTGGACATGAGCATGGAGCGGTCGTTGCCCCAGTACCAGTTGAGCGTGATGTTTTCCATGCTCACCACCAGCGCGTACGAGTTCTGGTGGACCTGCATGTATCCATTACAACATGGCAACTCCAATGAGAAGCAAATTAATGTGCCTAAAATCTAAAAAGTGCATACGCACTATTTGGTTGAATTGAGCGGCCGCGTCTCGCATGCATGTGGTTGTTAATTTTTTGTCTTCTAGTGCATGTGGTTGTTAGTATTAAATGCGTTCACACTAATTACTCCATTCCGAACAGAACATGTCCACGCATATTCATTTCAGAGTTTTAAATTTTAAAAAATCATATCTTTCAAACCGTGCGTCGGAATTCAAATCCGTTTTCACTGCTGGAACTCTTGCGACGAGATCTTTGAAACTAGATCCCTCATGAGTATGTTTCGATGAAATTTTTTTGATGACAACTTTGGTGCTATATAGTGCAACTTTAGTACTGTATTGTGCAACTTTAGTACTACATCGTGCAACTTTTTGCAAAACCAATTTTTGGATCTGCATAATTCAACTTCCTATGAGATTGCATTCTAGCAACCATGACAACTTTGTTGTTTAGTTGACAGGACTATTGACACACATATATGCTCAGTTGGCGCGATAATGTAGTCTAGTTCACATATTAATATTTAGTTGACAGGACTATTTACACACACATATGCTTAGTTGGCGCGGCAATATAGTTTAGTTGCACACATATTGATGTTTAATTGGCAGGACTATTGACACACACATATGCTCAGTTGGCACGACAATGTAGTCTAATTGCACAGACATTGATGTTTAGTTGGCATGACTATTTGGCACACACATATACTCAGTTGGCGCGGTAATGTAGTCTAGTTCCACACACATTGATATTTAGTTGGGAGGACTATTTTGGCACACACATATACTCAGTTGGCGCGGTAATGTAGTCTAGTTCCACACACATTGATGTTTAGTTGGGAGGACTATTTTGGCACACACATATGCTCAGTTGGCGCGACAATGTAGTTTAGTTGCACATACATTGATATTTAGTTGGCAGGACTAGTTCGCCGAAACATGCCCATGTGGCATCTATTTTTGAAGAGCACGTCGCGAGGGTTTCAACAGTGAAAACGAATCTGAATTTCGACGCGCGGTTTAGAGGATATGTCTTTTATAATTTTGAAAACCAAAAATTAATGCAGAAGGATGAACATGAGGAAAATTAATGCAGTGGCATGCAGGCATCCATCACGTGAGAAGAGACCACACAGAATAATTAATTAACAGTGTCATTTTTAACATTTTTAGATTACACTAATTTTATCTTTTTAGTATGCGGTTGTCTAGTCCCTAGGACCAAGGAGACAGGCACTTATTTTATTTGGCCGGCCGCTAGCGAACGCTAGCTAGCGCCCGGCCGCCAGCTAGACCCGTCCATTAATGTGTCAACTAAATAAACACATGCCTCCTCCTACTACTAGACGTCTGCCTGCGCATCCGTATTCACGATAGACAGCTATTATCGACGAATAATTGGCTTGGCCCTACTGGCCACTCGCATCAACACGAGATTTATTGGACCAACTCTTCCTGCCAGCTAGCTGCCCTCATCAATATTAGGACAAGCGGTGATCAGCTAGCTCGTCGATGGATCGATCGATCCCTGCAGACGTCAACCGTTAGGTGCTTAATAAACCACTCAAAGATGGGAAACACTCGCTGCCTGGACCATTTCGGAGTACAAGCGAATGAAACAGAAACACTCCCTCGCGAGCTGGTGCACCAACAGGTTTTCGATCAGTACAGGCTTCGATCAATACACGTGCGAGTGATATTGGAGCGGTGGTTGAGTGTTAATTAATGGGATGTTATCGTCTTAACAAGAACAACGCCCAAAGCACACAAGGTGTGCAGACCGACCAAATAAAAAATTTAGATCCTCAGGTAGTCAACAAATTAATCAAGGATACAGATCTCTGTTCAGCGAGATTAAGATTCTCATTGCCATTGACTTAATACAATTGAAATTAGAAATAATACTCTCCCCGTTCGGAATTACTTGTTGCCGAAATTGTTGTATTTAAACATATTTTAGTTTTAGATACATCCACTTTCAAAACAAATAATTCCGAACGAAGGGAGTACCTAACAACCAACTAGAAGTATTAATGTTCCAGGAGAATATCACACTCCTCCGTAGATGTTGTAATCCGACACGTATAGCAGCAGCGAATGTTAGACAATGACAGCATAGGTATATAGGTCAGAAAAAGTACTAGAAAACTACTACATGAAAAGTCAAACCAAGTCAAAGTTTGCTCTCCCTTCTGAACCGCTCTCTGGTTTCGATCAACACGATCCATCTACCCAACCATCGGCTGACGTGCGAGCAGCTGTAGTCGCTCAACTTCAATAGAAAGTATCATATACTTCCTTCATCCGAAAATACTTGTCATCAAAATAAATTAAAAAAAATGTATTTAGACTAAAATACATCTAGATACATTTTTTTATTCTTTTTCATGACAAGTATTTTCGAACGGAGGAAGTACTAGTCCTATCATACATATGATACTATTGTACTCCCTCGTTCCTTGATATAAGGTATACAAATTTTTGAGAAAAAATTCGAAATATACAATTACATTGCAATACTCGCTTGGATAACCTTTTTTAGCGATTTGATTACCTTTTCTTATATCAGGCAAGCTTCTCTATTTTCTCATATTATTAGTCAGATATAATCTCGGTCAAAACTTATGAAATATTTTCTCCACGTGCGTTTTTTATTTTTCATGCTAAAAACTATACACCCTATATATAGAAATGGAGGGAGTTTGATATTACCTTTATAGTGCATAGTGTAGTTTCATAGATAATTTTAATTATAGTCATACATGACACATAGTATAGCATTTAACCTCTCTTTCTTCTTTGATTCATTGCCACATCGACATGTTTACTATTCTTAAGTGCATGATAGCAGCTAATAAACCTCACTATCGCCAGCCTAACCCACTCGAACGCACCGCGAAATTAACACTATGCTACGTACTCGAGGAGTTGTATAAAAAATTACCTGGAGCAGCTGCTTGGCCAGGTCGATGGAGATGAGCCCGGCGCTGCATCCCATGCCGCCGAGGTTGTAGCTGGCGACGTTACCGCGGAGCTTATAGTGGTTGACGACCATGGCGGAGAGCGATGGCGTCGGGTTGAAGAGGCTGCAGTTGACGACCACGACGCCGATGTCCCTGGCCCTCACCCCTGTCTTGGCGAGCAGGCTGTCGATGGCGCCGAACATAACAGCCTCCGCCTCCCGCCGCGCTTCCGCCATGCACGGGTTAGGGGGCGAGTTGAGCACCGCCGCCGGGAAGTAGGTCCCCTGCCCTAGCCCCGACCGCTCCAAGATCTTACGCTGGAACGCCAGGTTATCGTCGGTGAACACTCCGGCCTTGTTGGACTGCTCCATGAAGGTCTCCCGGGTGACCACGTGGTCGGGCCCCGGCTTGTAGCACGCGAAGTCTAGCAGGTACACCGCGCGCGGCCGCCGCGCGAGGTAGACCGTCGCGAGGGCCGTGGCAACGGACACGAGGGAGACAGCCAGCTGGAGGTTCGCGAGGAGGTAGGCACGTGCTGCGGCCAGGTCGGACGGGGTGAGGCGGGACGCACGGAGCGCCAACGCCGCGGCGAACGGGGCAAGCAGTACGTAGATCGCGTTGGACACCACGATGTGGTAGCCAAGCTTGAGGTACCCCGGGCGGCGAGGTCCCTGACGCTTGCCATCGCCGCCGCCGGCCGTGGTTTCTTGGGCGGCGGCACTCATGGTGGCGTAGCGCCGTGGGACACGGGCCGGCTAGCTTGCGTGCGTGCGTGGTGGCTGCTGATCGAGCCGCGGTTGGTCGGGGTTGGGAAGTGTTTGTCCGGGATAGATGGGAGGTGAGATCGGAAGCGATATATATGGGTAGCGGTAAGCGGGAGGTGGGTGCAACCACCGGAGCTACCATTAAGACGCAGCGAAGGCAGAGGGGAAGGAGAAGCGAAGGAAGCGTGGGCGGGGATCGGTTTCGAGTTATTAATGTGAGACGCGCGCGCGGAACGCAAGTTGGGCGCCTCGGCACGGCGGTCGCGTCGTGCTCGTGCAGGAGTGGGTCTCGGTCGGTGGTGGTAGTGTAAATGTGGTTGGGTTGGCGTTGGGGTACAGACGGAGACGCGAGCAGACGCGTACTGCTTCGTACCTTCGCGGGTGAGTCCCTTTGGTGCGCGATTTTTTTTACATCAATACAGACATAAACGTTTAAATACACGCGCATACACTTACTCTTATGAACGTAAAGACGCACACACTATCCTTATGAGCACCTACGAGAGACTGAGTCAGCATATCATATTAAGATTTACGAAGCCACCGTAGGCGCCTCGTCGTCGACAGGAACGTCTCCCTCTCATTGAAAGCGCATTGCCGAAAATTCTGAAATAAATATAGGAATAATGCGAGCACCAGGATTTGAACTCTGATGGGTGGGGATATCACTGTCCACCTAACCATCTCAACCACAGGTTGATTCGCGGTGCACGGGGGTTTAACAGGTGGGCGCAGGGATCTTTTTCCTTTTATTATTACTAGAAAAATGTGTCCGTGTGTTGTAACGGGAGAAACAAATCCATCCACTTTCTAGTGATTCATTTGTGTTGGTACTTCTCTCCTCCACCAGCTCATCATATTCGATTATGGTCCCGTTGTCAATCTATTCATGATAAAGTTAAGGGAGATGATAGGCGCCAGTGTGCTGGCCCAAATTTGTGCCGGTCGCACCCTGAGCGTCCGATCCATTCCCTTTTGACTATTCAGATTGAGCCTCTGTTCATTCTTATCCCCTGGCTGTTTTCTTCGCCAAAATACACAATAAAAAGAGCGATGGAGAACGCCGCCAGACACCTATGTTGTTGACAGTGCGCTTGCAGCCTTCGGGTCACCATTCAGCTCGCTCAGCATGGCTACTTCGCCTTGCAGCTCCTGGTCGTGGACGCCTCACTACTTTGGCAGCGCCTTTCCTAGCACTGTCCGGCAAAAGGGGTGCAGCTCGCGGCCCCCATGGTTGCAGCACCGGGTTGCGCCGCCCCGCCCACGCTGCCCCTCGCCGTCAACGCTCGGTGCACCGGTGCCCGTCCGCCGCCCCTCGGTTGCAGCTTTGGACGATGCCGTGGCTGATCGTAGCAAATTTCATGGCCGTTTGTAGCACACACGGACACCGGTTCCAGCAAAAACTCGTCATGCCTTGGCTAGTGCGCATCACCACCACCGCTCGTGGTAGCAGCTGTCGACAGCGCTTGTAGCAAGGTTGTGTGCAGCACCGCCACTAGCGGTCGCACGACCTTGCAGCTTTTCTCAACGCCGGTTCCAGCTTCCAAGACCGTCGGTTCCAGCAAAAATAGCTCGTCGGTGCCGCCACCTCATCACCATTGTAGCAAAATTGATCACCGGTTGTAGCTTTTGTGATTGCCGGTTGCTGCTCACCACGTAGCCGTTTCCAGCACGCCAAGCAACTGGTTCCAGCAAAATTCCATGGTCGGTTTGCATTGTCGCCCCGTGTTAGTAGCAATTCTCTCTGACAGTTCCAGCATCTACCGTTGCTAGGTCCAGCAAATAAAAGAGTGTGGTTGTAACAAACTGGGAATCATCGATCGCTGCTCCAACTCCCAGCAATGGCTCGCCGCTCGTCCTCCCAGCCCCCGCTTGCAGCAAAAAAGAAGAAGAAAACAACTGGAGCAAAAGGAGGTGGTGCAGTGCGCGTCAGGGGAGGGGGTGCGGGGGAGGGCCCAACTAGAGACGCCGGAGGAGGAGAAGGACGGCGTACATGTTTCGTCGATTTAGCGGCCGCCAAAGGGAATACAAGGAAAGAGATGAAGTTTTTTTTTGAGCCGAAACCGTAGAACAATCATTCTACAGTAATTTTCATTATAATAGCATAAATGTACAAAAAATACAAGTCCAGCCTAGACCCTCAACCAATGCCGGTTTTATGAAACATCGCAGATATTACAAATAGAGAGCTATCCAATTACTGATCATCGTGGCCTTTTCATGCTTAGCTCGAAAAGTAGTGATATGTAGACTTTTCTTGAGGTGGAATTTCCAAGTACCTAGATGGATTGGTGCCTGCCTAAAGATCTTGTCATTCTTGGTAAGCCAGATGCTCCAACAACCCAAAATCACAATTTCCATAGCAATATTTGTCGGCGGCTGATCCAGCATGAGAAGTATTTCATCATATGTAGAAATGCCTTTGACTTTGGAGGGAGTAAGAATATTCCAACATGTCCATGCAAATGGGCAATCCCAAAAACGTGCAGAGAAGTCTCCTCAGTGCCATCCCCACATAGGGCACAATTGTAACTCTCGAGATACATGCTTCTGCGTTGTAGCATGTTTCTGGTACTGATCCTATCATGAAGAAGGAGCCAGAAAAAGATTTTATGTCTGAGTCTACACGCCAAACTCCAAAGCTTCTTAAAAATGATGTGAGTTGTGCTTGGTCCCATGATCACTTTGTATAATTTCATAGAGGAAAACTTGGTAGAGGTAGTACCAGAAAACCAGTAGTCTCTTTCAGCTGTGTCTGATCTGTTCATGATGATCCATTCAATGACATTGAACTGATTAAAAGCTTCTAGGGATAAAGGATGGTGGAACAACTGGCTGAGGTCCTCAAGCTGTTGAACATTTCCAAGTGTGATTTCTTTGTTGATTGCAAAAGAGAACAGTTCTGGATGTTGTGTTTGCAAAGGGGTGTTTTGCCAATTGTCTGCCCAAAACCTAATTGAATCCCCAGTCCCAGCTTTACAATTATGAAGGAGCCTGAAAGTGGGAAGAAGTTTGAGTATTGCTTTCCACCAGAAAGATCCAATCATTCTCTCATTGGGCAAAGAGTGTTGATAATAAGACTCCCAGATAATATTCACCCATGGAATGTCAGCTCTATTCAAGAACTTGTATAAGGACTTCATCGGCAGCGTTTTATTATGGGTGTGCAAGTCAAGAACACCTAGCCCTCCATGTGATTTAGGCTTGCAGACCTGTTCCCATGATATAAGTGCAGCACCTCTGTCCTGAGTAGCATACTTCCTCCAGAAACAGTTCATGAGGTAGGAATTGATTTTCTTGATCACGGTCTTAGGAATCATGAGTGTGCACATGAAGAAAGTAGGCATACTGGTGAATACTGACTTAATGAGAGTAAGTTTGTCACCAGAGGAAAGCAAGGTGGAGCAGCCTAACAGTCTGGTTTCAATTCTCTTTAGCAAAGGCACAAAATCTTCAATTCTTGGTTTGGCAGTGCAGAGGAGCAGACCAAGGTATTTGTGAGGGAGAGTACCAACATTACAACCCAGCAGAGTGGATAACTGTTGCATCTTCTTAGGAGGAGTGTTGATGGATATCAAAGTGGATTTAGACTAGTTAATCTTGAGCCCAGTGTATTCAGCATAAAAGTTGAGTAAATGTTTGATTTGTTGAGCTTGTCTGATGTCTGCCTGAGCCAGCAGAATGGTGTCATCTGCATACTGAATAACAGGGAAGTCTGTGCTTGAGGTGTGCCTTAATGGTGAGCTGATAATAGAATTGTGCATGGCTTCATTAAGCATTGACTGTAGAATATCAGCAACAATGACAAATATCAATGGAGAGAGAGGATCTCCTTGTCTCACACCTTTTTTACAGAGAAACTGTTTGCCAGGGATCCCATTGAGCAGGACTGAAGAAAAACCAGAACCATAAATCATCTTAATCCATTGTATCCATTTGTGTCCAAAACCTTTAGCCTGCAGGACTTGAATAATAGTATCATGGCTTAGCATATCAAATGCCTTCTCAAAATCCAATTTTAAAAGGAAAAGCTCTTCTCTGCTTTGGAAACACTGATGCACATACTCATAAGCCCAGGCCAAGCAATCTTGAATTCATCTGTTGTTCAGAAAACCATATTGATTCTTATGCACTAGTTTTAAGATAACCTTCTATAATCTGTTGGCCAGGAGCTTAGTGATGATCTTCAGAGTACAATTTAGCATAAAAATAGGCCTGAAATCTGATGGATGGAAGCATTGTCATTCTTGGGAATAAGAATAATAAAAGAGTAGTTGATGCTCTGTAAATTGACATTCCCAGCATGAAAGTCATTGATGATATTGTAAAAATCTTGTGCCACAATGTCCCAGCAATGTTTAAGAAAAGCATCATTAAAACCATCAGGCCCTGGAGATTTATCAGCTGGCATATGTTTGACCACCTTGTCAATTTCTTCCTTGGTGAAAGGAACTTCCAGCTCAGTAGGGTCATCCAGTGGATTCAGAAGTTGATGAAGTACCAATGGATTATGGGTGTTTGCCTATGTACCCAAGCTGTCTTTAAAAGCTCTGAAGAGTATAGCAGCCTTGGTCTGGTGATCATGATGTTCAAAACCTGATTCATTCTTTAACATGGCAATGCAGTTATTTCTGAACTTAATGGTGGCTTTGGCTTGGAAATATTTGGTGTTTGCCTCTCCCATCTTAATCTTTCTAATAGTAGATCTCTGCTTCCAGTATTTTCTTTGATTCTCCAGAGTGTTTGCCAGGTGGGCGAAGAAATAGCGAAGGATAAGGTGGGGTCATGCGCGCTGCTAGCCATAAGATCCCGCCTGATCCAACGCGTCTCGCGCGACCGGCCAAAGTTTCGGCCGGCGCACCAGGTAGAAGTGTTTCCCTAAACTTAATCAATCCCAAGTGAATGAGCTCCTCTACTTGCAATTTTGCTGACTTATGATGATAGTGAGTATCAGACTTGTC